GATTGCAAGGAGTTGCTCGCTTCCCTCAACAAGGCATTCCCCACCAAAGACCTTGGAGAGTGTGTGTGGTTCGACGGGTGTGCCGTTGAGAGAGACCTAGAGGCTGGGACCCTTAGAATCTCCCAAACCGCGTACATTGACAGCATCGTGAATCGCTTTGATGTGCAGTCGACCTCCCCCATCCCTGCTTCCCCTGGTGCCGACCTAGGGCCGAAGCGAGATGACGAAAGTGGAGGGGAGTGGCCAGTGAGGGAGGCCATCGGCAGCATGATGTGGGTGTCGACGTTCTCGCGCCCGGACATCTCGTTCGCTGTGCGTGCGGTAGCGCGCCACGCCCATGCCCCTGCCGAGAGGCACTGGAAGGCGATACGAAAGATCCTCGCCTACCTCAAAGAGACGAGGGACCTCGGGATCACCTATAAACGGGGATCGGGGCTGGGGCTGGCAGTGTACGTGGACGCTAGCTACGCCGACGCTGAGGATAGGCGTTCGGTGTCAGGACTGGCAACAACGGTTGGAGGAACCGTCATCAGCCACGGTAGCAAGACGCAAGCTATCGTATCTTTTTCGTCTACGGAGGCAGAGTACATTGCTGCCGGAGAGGGTGTGAAAGAAGCTTTGTTTGTGCGTGCAGTGCTTTGCGTTTATTGCCCCAGAGACCAGTGGCGGTAGCATTCAGGTCCTTGAGGACAATCAGGGGGCCATGGCCTTGGTGCAGAACCCCTTAGCTCAGCGCGTAGCAAGCACATCGACCTGCGGTACCACTTCATTCGTGGATTGTTTAGGTCGGGGGACATCTCGATCAAATTTGTGTCGACGTCGGAGCAACATGCAGACATGCTCACCAAGGCTCTTAGCAAGAGCAACCTGCAGTACCACCGGAAAAAGCTGATGAATTTGCCGGAGTTTCTGTAGGATTTTTTAGCGCTTGGGGAAGGTCATGTATACCATGCGGGGAAAGATGCATTACTGTCGCGGGCTGTGTCCCATTGGCAGGAGTAGGAGGCTTGCCTCGCATTCTTGTCTTCGCCTTGGCCTTCCTGATAAGTGCGGCCGTTGTGATCCGCCGTGATAGCAATCAATGGTTTGTGTTGGATAGGGTTTATTTTCGGGGGGTTTTCCCGGGCGCCGGGTTTCCCCTCGACACCGTATTGGCATTTTATTGATGTATCCGGGGTGTTTTTGCCCCACTGATGGTTAGTCACTTGCGTGAAGAACCAGGGAGGGTGTTCGTGGGTCTACGGGCATGGTTTGGATATGTTAGCCGTACGTACAAGTGTGACGCAGATGGTGTAGAACCTTTTAGGTAGGGGTACGGTGATGATACACCGGGGCCCCCTTTTTGTTGCGTGCAGCAGCAGCCCTGCTTCCTGCTGCCTGCTGCCACTCTCTCCTCCTCCTTTCTGAGCACGACAGCGCCCTGGGTACGGGCGTTGCCTCACCGTCTGAAGTTAATACACTCCACAAACAATACCCGATAAGTACGCAGAGTACAGGCTTGCAAACATCACCTTCGGGCGTGTGACCAGCGGTTGTGACCTTGAGTGTTGGTTGCTCTTTACGAATAATAATGTTGTTTTTGCTGTTGGCATCGTTGTCGTCGTTGTCTTTGGTTCGCGTGCAAGACTTTCATGTTGTCAAAAGTCCTAGTCTCACGAAAGACATTCGATTCTGCACATCAAAGAGCACATAATACCACCCCACATCATCTTTCCCTCCACCCTACCACCGCCTTTTTCCCTTCATTTGTTGCCCGTCCTGTGCGTTTCAACGAGCAGATGATCTGCTACGGTCCATGATTGAGCACGTGCATGCTCAATCGGTGGGGTTGCGCTTCCTTCGGAGGTCAACAGGCCGACTGCACAATAATTTGCTCGGCTTCAACTGTCAACGAGTAGCCTACGCGAGAAGGAACGGTGTTTCTCCCACTTTGCTGTCATTCGAATCAGACAGAGAAATTGGCAGCGGAATACGTTTGACTCTTGCCTGGTTGGGTATCCGGTTGAAAAAGGATCGCATTCATCGAGAAGAGGAAAGTGTTTGTCGCTCCTAACAGACGTACCCGGTAAAACGTCAATATTGCAGGGGATCTCTGTTGGTTTTTCCCTCAGCATCATCGCTGGGTTTGGGGGGGGGATCATCTTTCGGGGAGCGACGGCAAAAAGTCACACGCTCTCAAAGACCCATTCACAGCACCGTTCATTGCCTCATGCGCAACACTGTCATCCATTTGTATTGCTGCACCAAGACGGCGGATTCCACCCCAAATACATGATCTTCAAAAGTTGCGATTCTAGAAGGAAGCAAGAACCAAACTCCCACCAACAATCATAGCCCAAGGGGGAGCCGAAGAATGGGGAGGGATCTGTCCATTGTATCGGGAGAAAGCCTACAATAAATAGTCTGTATTTTCAGGGAGGTTGTTTCTCGATATTATTGTTGGACCATTTGCATTGGGGAGCGCGGGATCAATGCGAGAGGGGACAAATCAAAGAAGGTTCGGCATGTACTAGCCTGCGTTCATCTTCCGTGAGTGAACTTCATGACATGGTCGTGGTGAGCTTTGACAAACCTTGGGAAGGGAATCAAGCAAGTCGAGTGATTGTTTGCGCGTCTAATGTCTTCCGTCACTCTGGGATAGTAGTTGCCGCATAAGAACGCAATTGGCTCTTCCACCATACCTGTATTTGGCGAACTTCGATGTATCAAGTCTGTGTATAGGCCCCTCATGCTGGCAGCAACAGCTGGACTCCTTGATCATTGACAGTCGTCGATTGTATTGAAGGCATGGCCTTTGGTGTGGTGCGTAACAACTCCGTTAACCCCTAACGTCGTAAGGAGACCATCGTCCTTGGCGGCAGAGTCTCCCTTGCTGGCTGTACCCCGATTGTGAATCACACAGAACGATTAACTGTCCACCATCTCTACAACTATCTATTTTGAGCGCAAGCTCGAGACGGTCCAGAGGTTGAGATGGTGGTCCACACACGGAAACAGTTCTACATGTACGCGAAATGATGATTTTGTCCGAAAACACACTTAGTTTCGGTCGATAATTGTACCCAATGCGTTGGGAGGCGTACCGTATACCAATTGTGTTTCAACGCCTTGGCCTTTGGCGTGTGTTTGCCTCTCCAGAGTGGAATGTTCGCAACAGCCACGCCGTTCGTGGGAATGTGCTGGGCTCAACCCGGATCACAAGCTCGAGCTCCGTGAACGATGGGACGGACTGATGGAAAGTCGCCTACCAAGAGGTACGATACGCAGACATAATTTACATTTCGAATGGGCAACGCATCCTGGAAAATAGCTAAATATAGTCTATATCAGAACGATGTTGCCCAACATATTGAAACGTGGTTGCTGATGTTCTCTCTTCGCTGATCGCAGACCACGGCTAACATCGTGCACCTCCCTGACGCCCGTGCACCTCCCTGACGCCTCCCGCACGCCATTCGTCCAGTGCGGTGCCCGACAGTGCTAACGATCGTGGACGGTTTGTTCAGTACATCAACAACGAGCAAAAGAACAGGAACAAGCCCCCCCCGTGGTGCGTCTTCTTGATGTGTGGTTGTTCGGCGTGCCGTGACGTATCTGCTGTAGGACATCTAAACGGTCATCTATGTGCGCTGTTGCTGATCTTTCCCTCTTTTCAAGGCACCTCTGTCGTCGGTAGACATTAGGGCGCACACTGGTCTCGACTGCGTTACGTTAGCCAACAACACGTATGGTTTTATGAAGGAGAGGCTTTCAATTCGCCCTGCCAGAGCCGGCCATCACAACTTGATGGAAGGTTCACCCCATGCTACTTACAGAGGGCCCTTCTTTCCTCAAACACCATGTAGCTTTTGGCATGGGCACCTACGTAGGAGTAACGACCGCTCTCTGCGCCATGGGGGTCTCACTTGCCGCTCGCTGCGGTCGTGTTCTATCACTGATGTGGAAGTGTGGTTCTATTGAACGTCGTTGTATTTCTTTCCACAACGCCGATGGTGCCATCACATCGATACCGGTGCGGGATACACCTACCATATTCAAATAGCGTTTTCAAGGCGCCACGGTGCGATATCTAAGATGGGTGCCATCTCTCGCACTCTTGCGGTAACAGCTCGGTAGCAATCTAGTGGATGCGGAAGAATAAGCATCGAACATGAGTGCAATATCCTCAAAGGGTCCGCCTTCCCGCGGTTCTCCCGATGTTCAGGGAACGCCTCGCCGCATCAATGTTCGACGATGTCACCGAAGCTGACTATATTCAATCCCTGCTACAAGATCAGTCCGTGCCTGAACATGTTCGGACATGGCCAACGGTGAGCATGACTTCGATCATCGTGAACGCATTGCCCAACACATTAGACAAGATTTATCACCGCCCTCGGTCCCCGTGCCACCTCACTGGCTCCAACAAAAAACGTAGGTAGCCGGTACCCAAAGAGAGAGGCGCCCCCCAGCACCTCAATTGCAGGCGAGAACACACAATCATACACCTGACGACAATACTATCCTGATCAGTCCCTACCATGTTGCTCCACGGCAGCGGCCTGAATGCGGCAGGAATGGCCCCTTGGTTGCTGTAGTTGCATCTCCCCCGGGAACAAACTGTCGATCTCGGTACAGTAGCCTCAGGCCAGATCCGACAAAGACGGCAGCAGAAACAATGGGACACCACCCCGCCCACCGAACACTGCACCCTACAACGACGACCGGTTGGGTGGTAAAGTACTTCATGAGCAGGTTCCATGGGCACCAAATACCACATATATGGTTTATTCCAGAGAGGCAGGAGTGACAATCGCATAGTGCCCTCCACCTGACTTGGTATGGGTCGACTTTCTTGTAGGAGAGGCCTGCACTTCAAGCATTCGAACGCCATCATAGCATCCCTTGCGCGACGCCGTTGCGTACCCAATCACACAAGCCAACCCTGTCGAAATATTTTTCGTGAACATTATTTTGAACATGTCACGGCCGTCTTCTTGTTCCGTGGACAGTCCTCTGAGATGTGCACGGCAGGCAGTGCAAAGCGAGAACGATCACGCCGCGCGGAAAGACCCGATGCGTCTTCTGAGGGGGACGAAGAGGCGGCAGGGATCGACAGTGGTGCCGCCTACAAGAAGGCGGGCGGAACGGATGATGAACAGGTGGCCGAGGTGGGGATGGTCGCTGGTCGTCCCAAAAGGCTACGTGTGTCATAGCCGAAAATTCACCATCACCACTTACCGGCACTAACACCATATTCTGCCGTGAATGGTCGCCGAAGGACTCCATTCAGACCTTGTCTGTGCAAGGAATTGCAGTAAAATTCACCAATTTGCACGAGAACAAACCAATTCCAACCACCCGTCGCACAATCGCCATATTACAACTGCGGTAGTATCAGAAATGTTCGTCGAGACCGCTCTATAGCGACGTGCGGTTTCGTCATTGCAGGTCTTGCCTATATCTGATTTTGGCTGTAAGAAGCATTTCAGGCAGGGTGGGGACGAACACGGCTCAATGGGTCGAGTCGCGGCTGACGTGCACTGAAAAAGAGACCCCGCAAACAAACGCAACCCCTTCCGTCGTGCGGTCCAACAAAACATCTGCCAATCCTCAGCGCGTTGAACCAAATCTGGTTTTCGGCGCCATCACCGTGTTCATCAACCAGACGCTCGGTGGCCAGAAGGGCTTCGTGTCCACGTTGGAACTACAGCTCGTGGCGTTGCGCTTCTGCGTGATTTGCCGACACGTACCCTCGCTTACCTTAAGGGTGGGGAAGAGGGCGATGCGGCATCAGAAGTCTGGTTTGAATAGTTCTTCTCGTGTACCCGCCCTTCGACCATCTGCAATAAGGGGGCAGTACGTCAAGGAAGCGATTTTGTCGAAGCACCACAAGCGCATCGACTGCAGGAGCGCTTCGGGAATAAAATTCGGGAAACAATTCGACGAGCCTATCGCGGGTGTCCCGTGGCCTTGCTCGCTGCGACAGCTCGAGTTCGGTAGACGCTTCGACCAGGCGATCGTATCGGTGGAATGGCCACGGTCGCTCCAGAAACTAACGTTCGACGGCTTGTTCAACCAGCCGGTAGAGGGTATCTCGTGGCCAAGCGATCTGCGCGAGCTGGACTTCGGGTTGTCGTTCAACCGACCGATTGAAGATGTCGCGTGGCCAAAGTCGTTGCGGGCTATGCGGTTTGGACCCTGTTTCAATCAACCGATTGAACAGGTCAAGTGGCCGCCACTTGTCAAGTTCGAGCTCGATGTGGACTTCAACCACCCGATCCCACAAGTCGAATGGCCGGAGTCGCTACAGCGGCTGACCTTCGGGTACTCGTTCGACCAGGATATTGACAACGTCAAGTGGCCTAGCTTGCTTGAGGAGCTAGAGTTTGGTGATCTGTTCAACAAGGGGATCGAAAACGTGTCTTGGCCTGCCGGGCTCAAGCAGCTGACCTTCGCGAGCAAGTTCAACCAGCCGATCGAGCGTGTGACGTGGCCCGCTTGTCTCGAGGTGCTCATCTTTGGAGATGATTTCAACAAGCCGATCGAAGGCACCAAGTGGCCGTCATCACTCAAGAAGTTCACATTGGGCCTCAAGTTCGAGCAATCTATTGCCAACGTGTCATGGCCGCAGGCATTTGAACATCTTCACCTCGAGAACGTCTTCTACGATTTTTCTGTTGAAGACATGTTGTGGCTGCCGTCGTTGCGCTACGTGACGATGGGCGAGGACACAGTGTTCAAGTCGATTGCTGCCATTCATCAAGACAGTGGGAGTGGTTCTGAGGCATCATGGGCGACTATGGGTGCCGCGGCGGCCGGTGACAATTTGTCGGAGAGTGTCTCAATTATCTCCCTATAGAAGAGGGAAGTAAGGGGGTCGCACAACATGTACCTGGGAGAATCATTGAACAGACGTAAAAGTTGGTTGACGGCCATTGTTTCTGGTGTACAGTATGGGGGAGGGGGGAGGTGAAGTTTGGGGAATGGGCAAGTTGACCCGCATGACCGTTGGTGGAAGTGTCGTGCATCGTTGTTGGTGTTTGGGATGGTAAGCCCAGCAGGCATCGAAAGGGTGTCACCAGGCGTGACAGCAGTTCAGCGTATTTCGCGACATTTCGAAACCACAGACGAACTCTTCGGTGCAGCGCGTTCAGTAATTGATTCCTGTGGTGTGAAGAAAACCTCGGTATGTTGTGCACCGAGAGGAACGAAGGTGGACTCTGGGGAGATCCTCGTTTCGCGCATGTGTACAGCAGTCCATGCCATATGTCCTAGGGCGTGAAAACCGAGAAGCAATGGTTAGAGCGGGCGTATGCGCGAGTGGAGTTCTTAAATTCGGAAAGATTCCATGAAACGCGACAAACCACGAGCCGTGCGGTCGGTGGTCATTTGTGACCTTCGGACGTCCTGCACTGGTGTTCAATGCAGCAATCGAATTATTTCACAGCACACTATGTTAAATGGCGAACAGCTTACCTCCAGATATAGGTGGTTTGGTTGGCTCAAGGATTTACTCAAATCTACCACAGACCCGAAATGGTGTGCGCGCAAGTTAGCACAAGCAAGTCAAGCGACGTGTTTCTCTAACCACGCGGCCAGACGGGCGCGACAGGCGGGCTAAGGGCTGCCCCACATCGTTTTTCGCGGTTCACATGCGTGAAAATCCTCCGAAGACAAGCCTGGGGTTGCAGGGTGATTTCCGCCTTTGTCGGTGGCCTCTTGACTACGTAAGCCTGGATGACGTACACAAGGGGCACACAGGACGCCTCAGCGGAAACATTTCAGAATGTGCCTATAACCCAGAGATCCCTGTACTTTGGTCAATATGTCCCCGATTCAACGACAACGCCTCAGCACAGAGCCCGAGGATCTCTATTGCATATGACCAACCCCCGACAAATCGTCTCTCCACTCCTTCCGCCGCGGACCAAGATTTTCGATTTATCGGCCTGTACGTGTCTTGAGCATGGAAATGTGAGGGGAAAGAGGGGGCGTGGGAAGAGGGAATATGGTCGTTTTAACACTCACGGATCCAACGGCGGCGTACCACGAGGGGCATGGCTCACCACGTTCCAGATAGGGGAGGGAGGAAGAGTGTTCCCCCAGCTGCTTTTTGGCAGGGGTGTAGGTGAAGGTTGGGGAGGGGGGAGTGAGAAATGCGTTGAGTACCTTAGCGCCTTCGATCATCATTGCTATTCCGTTTCCCTTCTTCTTCTGAGTTGCTGCTCAATCGCAACTCGTGTACCGCCAAAGGTGAAGAGATGGCACCTGGTGCGTTGTCTATGTGTTTTTCCCTTGTTTTTTTTTTCGGCAATGCTATTTGCTCCACCGGTGGAGTAAGTTCTTATTTGCTCCACCAAGCAAATCTCCACCCACAGAGCTTCAATCGACCTCAAACCAATTGCATCGTATAGGTATGGACTACAGCTATCTGCAATTTACTTGCAAGCTAAATCCGACCGGTGTCTGCAGATATATGCTGAAAAGGGGGGTTCCGCAGCATGTCAGGAAGCAGTAATCGTCTCGACCCTCCGTCCACACCGCTCCAATTGACCTCAAACCTTTTTAGTCGTGTCTGCACGGTCCCTGCCGTTCTTCCAAGCTATCGGACACTCCCATCCGATATATTCCTGCAGAGATATGGTCAACCGAGGGGGTTCCGCAGCATCTAGGGGGGGGGGGAATGGCAATTGTCCCGCTAAACCTCCCGTCACATACCTGAACCACGCCTAACTCGGCCCGCATCGTGTTGGCCCGGCTCACAGCTATCATTCAAGCCATCGGACACCCCGATCGGACCAGTGGGTGCAGAGAAACACCCACCCACGGGGGCTTAGTGGCTCAACGGCCGGTGGAGCAGATAAGCTGAACTGCTCCACCAGGCCAGACTCTATCTACCGGGCGCTGTTTGTCTTACGAAGACTTGCCTTGTGTTGGCCCGGCTCACAGCTATCATACAAGCCATCGGACACCCCGATCGAACCGGTGGGGGCAGAGAAACACCCACCCGCGGGGGCTCAGGGGCTCAAGGGCCGGTGGAGCAGATAGGCTGAACTGCTCCACCAGGCCAGACTCTTATCTACCGTGCGCTGTTTGTCCTACTTCCTACTACGGCTTGTATTGTGTCAGCACGGCCCATAGCTATCATTCAAGCCATCGGGCACTGCAATCGGACCAGTGGGTGCAGGGAAACACCCACCCATGGGGGCTCAGGGACTCAAGGGCCGGTGGACAGATGAGCTGAACTGCTCCACCAGGCCAAACTCTATCTACCGGGCGCTGTTTGTCTCACGAAGACTTGCATTCCGTTAACACGGCTCACAGCTATCATTCAAACCATTGGGCACCCCAATCGGAGTAGCAGGTGCAGAGAAACGCCAACCCACGGGAGCTCAGGGACTCAAGGGCCGGTGGAGCTGAACTGCTCCACCAGGCCAAACTCTATCTACCGGGCGCTGATCGTCTTACGAAGACTGTGGCGGGATAGGGGCACCTCGTGGATACGGGAAATTTTCTCAAACGGGCTTGTCCCTCCGGGCTAACGGGAACTCCTCCCCACCCCCCCCGACTAACGGGCACCCCCCCAATAACGCCCCCCTCCTGGTGGTTTGGGGCACTCCCCCTCAACTAACGACACTCCCCGTCGACAAAGGCCACCCCACCTACATTGTCGGTACTCCTCTCCGCTCACGAACACCTCTTGGCGCCGTGTTCGGACGGTGCAGTGCTATACACTGTATTTCCTGGACATATACAATGTTTCTCTGATCACATACACTGTATTTGTTGATCAGGTACGCTAAACACTGTATTACGTGAGCAGATTTACTGTATTCCCTCATCAGATACACCGTGTTTCCTCGCTCGTTTCACTGTATTTCATCACCAAATACATTGTATTACCTGGTCAGGATCACAGTATTTCCTTATCCGCTACACAGTGTTCGTCGTACTTTTCACTGTATTCCCTGAGCAGACTCACTGTGTTCCCTCATCAGATACACCGTATTGCCTCGTTCGTTTTACTGTATTCCCTCACCAAATACACTGTAATCCCTGATCAGGATCCCCGTATTCCCTCTTCAAATACACTACACTCATCAGATGTGCACTCCGTGGAATGCAGTGAATCTGATGAGGGAATACAGAGCATCTGATGAGGGAACACTATGAATCTGCCCTAGGAATACAGTTCATCTGACGAGGGAATGCCGTATACCTGCTCTGGGAATACAGCGTATCTGATCAGGGAATACAGTGTATCTGACGAGAGAATACGGCGATTCTGATCAGAGAATGCAATGAATCTCACGAGGGAAACATTGTATGTGATGAGGGAATACAGTGAATCTGCTCAGGGAATACAGTGTACCTGCTCTGGGAATACAGCGTATCTGATCAGGGAATACAGTGTATCTGACGAGGGAATACAGTGTACCCCTTCAGCGAATACAGCGTATGTGATCTGGGAATACAGTTTTTCCCATGACAGCGTAGTATGTGATCAGGGAATACAGTGAATAATATGACTATAATAGAGGGTATAATAGAGGGTACAGCGAATGTGACGAGGAAATGGCTCAGAGGCCACATATCTGCTTCACCGGCCCTTGGGCGATGAGTCCCCGTGGGTTCGGGTTTCTCTGCACCCACTGGTCCGATTGCAGTGCCCGATGGCTTGAATGATAGCTATGGGCCGGGCCGACACAATGAAAGTCTTCGTAAGACAAACAGCGCCCGGTAGATAGAGTTTGGCCTGGTGGAGCAGTTCAGCTTATCTGCTTCACCGGCCCTTGAGTCCCTGAGCCCCCATGGGTGGGTGTTTTCCTGCGCCCACTGGTCCGATTGGGGTGTCCGATGGCTTGAATGATAGCTGTGGGCCGTGCTGACACAACACATACAAGCCGTTGGGCCTGGGATTCCATTGGTACAACCACGTGTACCCTCGAGATGCACCACGATCTTGAAATTGAATACAGATTCGATTCTACGGGCGTGCACCGATGACATGGAACGCGGGCTGCGGGCGAGGCAATGGCGAGGGGACAGTGCCATCACCGCATTTGTACACCACCCGGCCTTGTGTGGTGCTAGGTATAGTCTAGGCGATATGTTTCCTCCGGAAAAGTGAAAATCGCAAACAAGTGTTTCGCAAGTGTGCACAACGCCTCGTCCGGTTTTCACTATTTTCTATTGTAGCCGCGTTGTTGCCGCCAAGCTCTTTGGGATCTATCTACACAACCCCTCCTAGAGAAAAGGTATGAAATGTTTATGTTCCTAGGGCTGCGATACTCTGCAACTAACTTGTGCAGAGGTGGGCACCAGATACACGTGTGCCAAGCCTCCAACAAAATGTGTTCATGTTTCATATTTTGCCGGACTGTCATAACTTCGACATCCTGGCCAATCACACTGTGGGCGGGACAAAAAAAAAAAACACAACTGCCCACCGTTGGTGCGCAGAAGCACCGCAGCAGTGCAGGCACTCCAGAGAACGCACCATCATCGTATGCACGCGCACACATGAGACACGTGCCTGTTTCTCGCTGGGGTCCCTGCTTGGCTTCTGCGAAAAGTCTTACTGTAGAGACAGTCTATATTTGAATATCTTTTACAGTAGTTGACGGTTCAACGAGTTCGTGCCCAAGAGATAGTCAGCGCAAGGACTCCCCGCTGCGCAGCGTGACGGCGGTGGCGGTAGGGATCTGCAACCGCTGCCTGCAGCGAAGTCATGAGCTTCTTTGGGAGAGTACGCTTGAGCCGCGCCGTGGCTCAAGGAAGCACTGTCGGGGCGTTGAGGCGAACAAGTGGGTCGCCCTTGTGGGCCAGGTCTCGTCAAGGCGCCGGCTGCGCGAGATATCCCGCTGCCGCTGGCCCTACCCCCTGGCTTGCACCAGGAAGGGCGATCGCTGCCAGCGCGGTGGTACCTTCTGCCCCGCTGGTGACAATGGTACCGTGGGTACCGGCGCCACTCCAACCCCTGATGGACATGCTCCATCCCATCATGATCAAGGACCGACGCCCACTCGAGTTCTTGGGCATCAGCACTGTAACTAACGCCGGTTCCCTGTGTGGGCATCTCAGTTTCGCAATCCTCACGGCCGCTTACCTGGAAACGGACGTCCTGACGCTAAGGTGCGAGATCATGCGTAGTCTCATGACGCTTCAACAACGAGTAGAGTTCCCCGTCGGAGACAAATGACGGTATGTACATTCAGTACTCGAGTGCCCTCCCTCTTCTGCTTCTGCGCAATTTGCAGCGCATCGGAAGAACCGCTGTAGAACATGTACAGAGATTTAGACTACATAACACCTACAACGTCCCCGCGAACCACTACTTGAACGGCATATATGCATATGTGCTTCAAAACGATGTTCTTGAACCGCAGGTGCTACTTGAGCTTGAACCCTTCACTCACAATGTGTGCTTCAAGCAAATGCGCTGCTGTATCTACATAGACCGTGGAGAATATGTATTTTTGGGGGCGTCTCTCTCGTTACACAATACATGGCGGGTCTTGGCACAAACCATTCAATGCGCGCCACCGCTTTAAAACCTAGGAGTTCAGAGATTAGGCGCGATCAAGGTTATATTTAAAGAGCATGAGAATATATTTAAAGAGCACGGTCTGGACATAAAAACAGGCTCCCACTACATCGTATATACGGGAACTATAGTCAGTCGCTGGAGGGTTACCCGAGAGAGAAAATAAGAAGCGAGCACTCGAGAAAAGAAAGAGCTCCTTAGATGATGGTAGTTTGTTTCGTCAAGTCCATGACGGTAGAAACTCGTGCTCGAGCTCGGAGCGACGAGAAACCCGAGCGAGGAGAGTTATACAAAACACACCGCGTTGGCGGTCGCTTTCGCCGGTCCGGCGTTTGTTACCGTATTCGATCGACGCAAGGGGTCTGGAGGCTAAGAGTGAAACCACATGCAGCCAGTGTAGGAAGGTGTGGTGATCAAACAGACAAGTGTGGCTAAGAAACCTCCCTTATGTGAACCTTGTTTCCCACAAAGGAAAGGTGGTTGGTTCTACTGTAGTGTGGCAAGAGTAAAGCTACTCGTGTGACGACAAACTAGGCTTGAAACATCCTAAAGAGTGAGTGAAGTTCGAACCTATCCTACAATAGGGGTTGAAGCTTGTCGAACCTTTTCGTGGCAAAGAACCCAAATTGGCTTCGCTCTCAGGATACAAGGTATGGCTGCTCTTGCTGAACATCGCCTGTTTGGGCGTCCAAACCATGTACATCCTCGCGTATTGCAGGGTCCTAGTGCTAAGCGGTTCCACCCTGAACATCATGTTCAACATGTTTCGGGTTGTGGGGCCCCCAGTGTGGATCCCCATCAAGTGGAACGTCGGCTTCCTGGCGCTTAACGCCGCGATGGTGTGGCTGCTGATGAACGAGAGAGAAGAAGCAGAGGAACTCGGGAAGGACCCCGAACAGGTTCGTACGCTACTTTTGTACGCTCCTTTTCGCCCCGATGTATATATAACGAGGAACAGACTGGGCACTACGTTGCTGCCGTCTTTATGCACTAGGACCCCCCGATGCCTCATCGTTCGCAATAGAGCACGGTGACGGATGTGTTTCTACTCATGGGGCGAAAGGATCTCGCCCTACGAGCTCAGGGACAAGATTTAGCGCCCGCGGCAGTGTTCTGTGGGTCATGCCTCCATCAGTAGGCAACACGGAGATCTCGGCAAAATGACACTCCAACGTACACGAACAGATGGAGTGGGGTTACACGCGGATGGTACACGGGAAAAAGTTGCGACAATATAAGTGAAATAGACCAGAGCAGACAGCTGACAGATCGACCACTCGACATAACATACACCTTGCGAGCAGTACGGCTGCCAGACCGTGTCGGGCAGACTACACGGAAATGGCGTGATGTTTCTATCCCCACCTATGTTTTATGTCCTTTGTCAATCTTCGGTCCTCCTCTCGCCACCAACGACTTGTCAGCCGGCTCAATCCATCAACTCAAACTGTCCGGCGAGCAGGCGAGGATCTTCCGAGAGATTTTCATGCCGACCCAGCTAAGCCCCGTGCATTTCTTGCGACTCATGGACGTCGCGGAGCGCCGTGTGATGCTCAAGGGTAACGATCTCAACCAGGAGGGCAGGCCGCACGAGGAAGTGTTCCTCATCGTCGAGGGCACCGCCGAGGTGTGTGCACGAGCGAAGAGTTTCCCTTGTTTTGGGCACAGGGGTCTCGTGTTCACAGGCTTGTAGTCTGTAGATCCTCACGGCGGTGTGTCCGTGACCGACCGCAGCTACAGCAACCCTAAGAGTGCAAGGGTGAGAAGAGCGGGAGCACAGGCCAGATCATGAAGGGTTACCAGCACAAGGCAGCCAGCATGTCAAAAGAGAAGGCCGTGAGGGTGCTTGTCAAACCCGCGTGAGGCCTAGCGATACGTGTCGATAGCTGTTGTGTCCCGTTTATCCCTGTGATGCTCTTTCCTTCGAAAATAGGTCAAGTCGGAAGGTGTGGTGGTGTGTCACCTCGCGTCGGGGGGGTTCGTCGGGTCCATGGCCTTCAACCGATTCATCAAGACGCCATCTCCGACTTCTACCAAGAAGGCCGGAGAAGGTGGCTCCTCATACAGAGAAGGAGGCATCTTCACGCAGGCGTGGGAGGTGTTTCTGTACCAGCTGCGAAAGCAAGGCTCTATCGTGGGAGAGGTGGGCCAGACCTTCGTGGGGGACAACACCAGCAGACGGCAGGACAAGTCAGGGATGGAGCGCTCAAGCAACACTATCACAGCTACCTCTGACGTGAGTCGGCCGTTGCTGTATGGCGCAACCAAACAACTTTCTTGAGACATTTTCCGATGTGTTGGGTGTGCCAACATCTATTGTTCGGACCGCCTCTCTTCGCCCCGCCCACGCCCCCCGACGTGCTTTACCTCAATACCGATACGTTTTCGCGGGTTCCGACCGACCAATGAGTGGATACGGATTATACCTGTTCAGAGACGAGTGCGCTATGTTCTGTGTAAGGCCTGTTACAGGTATACCAACTCTTCTGTGGATGGACGGGCGTGCTCCATGCAATGCATGCGAAACTCACCCATCAAGCGACGACGACGCCAGACATCCTCTTCCCTGTTCCAACGCTACTCTGAACCACAACACACCCCTGTCGTTCGCCACGCCTTCCTTTGTCCTTTTCATATCATCCCCTTCCTTTTCCTTGCATGGCGTGGCGCCAACGATGCAGGTTGTAGCCTACGTTTGGGACATGCACGTCCTCCGGGAGTTCGTCAAACGCCGGCCCATGATAGGCGCGTCTCTCCAAAAGGCCATATCGGTTGACCTTGCGAACAAGGTCAATCAGTCTCGGGATCACAAGGAGCATTACCGACAATTGCTCGCCGAGGCCTTGGACGGAGGGCGGGTTACCTCCACTGAGAGGAGGAACTTGCAGAGGTGAACAACAGCTCTGACTCGATGTAACATGGGTAGTGTTTCGGCTGATGAAAATATACGGAGGAGATTGTTGTCGTTGGAACGCATGTCACAGGAGGAGGTCTGCTGGCGCGTTTTCTACTGGTGGCATCCTTGTGACCACAACATGTCGCCGAATTTATCGAAACTTTTGGGTATTCGTGCTTATTTTGGCTTCGCCTTGAGAAACAAGACGACTCCATCTGCATCCATCCGCGGATGAAAAAACCGAAGAAATATGTCGCGACGGAATCGCAGTGTTACCAGGCGTATCTGTGTTTCTGTACAGATTGTTTCTTTGTGAAGAATCGCTCACAAACGAGAGACATGAGTGGGTTCCCCTTGATCGTGACGAGCAGGATCTTATCACACGCGGAGGATGAACAGCTTTTCTTTGCACGTGTCGATCGGGTTTCGCACCCTCTCGGTTGCGGAGCAATTGATCAAAAAACAGATCGCACACAACACTTGCGTGCGGTCGCCCACCTCCCACGGTACAATTGTTTGTAGCTGGTGGAGGTCGAAACCCCTACGGAATAACCCCCGTGCGAATGACCCGCTCTCATTTTCCTGGAATTTTCTCAACCCAGTCGTTGATCTCCACGTACTCGGTCGTGCACACTTAAAACAGGTACCGCGGGGGGCACCGCATTTCGGTTGCGGAGCACAGAGAGCGACTGAAGGAGCACGGCTGGACTGAGGAAGATTTCGAAGCGGGTTTCCAGGAACTCGCTGCCCCGAAGGACATGTCGAAGGAGAACTTCCTCAAGTACGAGGCCTTGCTCAAGAGCGAGCTTGACACGGGAGAGGTGAGATGAGCCCCGGTCGGACACCTACAACACGATCATGATACCAACTGACGCATATTGTTCTCCGTTGTAGTGGCCGTTTGCGTGGGTGTGGGCCTATCTCGCGTGTTGGATCAGACTGACTACCCTTCGTCATTGAGCGGGAAAGGTTTGTGTGAGCCAATAGTTCGTGGGCGAGGTCCTCGGCATACCCGTGAACATGCGCTGAGAGGGCATTTCGGCTTGCTTGTAGTGGCGATGTCGCGATGGGATTGGCGTTGTTCCCAAGGAAGATGCTCCAGCGTCATTCGCTTGTTCAGCATGTGCCTTAGCTACCGTGTGTTCCTGGTTGTGGGGGTGACCTTCGGCCATCTTAAAGCTTGAAAAGGAAATAGTCTCTTAAAAGCACAGTACTCCGAAGATGATTGTTGTTGATGATGGCAACGAGGACGACGATGGTGATAACATTGATGGTGTTGCTGATGATGATGGTGGTGGTGGTCGCTGTGACAGCGATGACACCAATGATGATGGTGGCAACGGTGATGACGACGATAATGCCTCTCCTCCTTGTGCGAGGGAATGGGTCGATCCTTGTGCCTTGAGGCATTGCCATTGTCGTCAACTATCGCATGAACTCCGTACAGTACACTTCCAAAGTCAACCCATATCCTGTGTGGGTGAATGTGTGTGTTTGGTCGTGTGCTGATTGGCCAGGTCAAGCCGGAGGCGCGGTCGAACCTGCGAAAATTCCGCTCTCAGGCCGGCATCGACGCTCAGGAGCACCTATTGGCCATCGAGAAGCAGGTGTGTAACTCGGTTGAGACGTTCATTGCAGACTTGTGTTCGCGTCGTGTCGCCTAGCGCGATGGTGAAGCGCTCGCCATGTCCTCTCGACGCTCGACGCGCGTGCTTGTGTATACCATGACGACGAGTAGCCCCGAGAACGATGAAGCGAAACCTGCTACGGCTGCTAACATCCCGAGCTCAACGCAGCAGCAACCACAACCACAACCACAACAACAACAACGACAACTGTAACTGTTGGTGCCAAGACTCCTTTCTCGACACGATCTGCTAGAAGAAGAAATATAAAGCAGTGGTCCATCGAAACAGGGATGCATGGCCAGCGATGAACGACTATATTTCCCACCCCCCAACTTCCCCCCCCTTTCGCATTTATCGGTGTATTTCTCGACTCGCGACGGCTTCGTCGCCCTCAGGGCTGGACAGCAGACGAGTACGAAATCGGCGGGAGGGCCTGGGCAGCCGAGAAGTACAAGGCCGGGGGTACGAGCACGCCCGCCGACAACTACTTGGAAGAATCCTCTGACAACGGCAACGGCAACGAGCGCACGGCGCAAGAATTTGGCTTCGAGCCGGCCGGAAGCACGGAGAAGGAGCGCTACCGCTTCTTGCTCGTGGAGGCTCTCGGGGGTGGCATGGTTGAGCCGGGAAAGAAGCGAGAGCTGAAAAGGTGATGCAGCCTGTGTCGAGCTTTGTACTACCGTAAACGTTAGCGGGCAATCTCTCAGACACGTGTGTTGGATCCCTAGTATAGGGTCGATAGGTCCACCACCAAGAGGCTGCTGCGAAACCCGATCTTGAAATCGTCTCAACACAGAACTGGTGGTAATTCTCCAAGGTTCGCAGTGTGGGCTGAGATCGGCTTTTTGAGACCCGATCGGTCAAGGGGAGGGGTATGCGAAAAAAATGAAACAGACAGACGGACAGAAAAAAAAAAGAACTTGTGGTCGACAGCTAGGTCTCGACGAGATATTTCCAAAGCCACCCCACACCCTGTTTTGGCATTGGTGGCAGCCTCTTGGTTGGGGGGTTGCCCAAACACATTGGTGTTATACTCTAGTTCTTTCTTTTTTTTTGGTCAGCTTGTGACCCCGGCAGTTCGTTTGTTTGTTCGCCTCGACGAGCATGAAGAAGATGAAGAAGAAGAGGTTCACTGGGTGGAGGGTAGAGTCACTTTTCACGTGAAGACAACGGCGACAACGGCGACAACGGCAACAGTATCATCATCAACAACAACAACAACAACAACAACAACAACAGCTACAGCAGAATAGAGGCAGCAACAGAGCTCCGAGCTCATGGAATCGGTAATACAGCCGTGTTGCTCAATAATAGATCGGCGGGTCCCGAGACACTCATCCTCACTATGCTTAGAGGGAATTCTATGGGCTACAACATGTGAGAGTCGTTTAAAACGCGCAAGATATCATACTTCCTTCGACGTACTTAAAATAGCTCCATGCCTACCACGAGGGTGTTGCCGACAACCAATGATGATGCGTCTTTGTCCTTCAAAAACAATTCCACTGCCGCCCCATTGGTCTTAGCAGCCAAGTTCCTGGTACTCCAACGGACTAGCTCCATTGAGCGGCAGCGCTGTCTACCGAAGAAAGCGTCGCTGAAGCTGAACATTCTTCTTCCGGGCTCCCCCCGTTGTGCGTGCTCTTCTTGCAGATACCGCGAGCTGCACACGATCTCTGCGAAGGAGCACAAGGAACTGCTGGCTGAACACGGGTGGAACGAGGAGGAGTTCGAGGCGGGTTTCCACAAGGAGTTGGCCTCCACGTTCTTCCAGCAATACGTGGCCTTGGTACAGCGCGAGCTTCAAAAGGGAGAGGCGAGTTGTTGAGAAGCTCCGTGACAGCAGGCAGTCAGCTAGTTGTAGTTTCCCCGCGGGGGTTGCTGTAGGTACCTCATTCCGTCCTGTCATAGTGACTTTCGTCTCCGTTTGAACGTACCGCCTGGAGCTTGTGGTATAATCGTGAGTCGTTCCCATCGGAAACTCCGTCTCTCGAGACCTCGATGCTCCTGGCGATGACGACACGTGTAGAAATGCCGCCCCATGTTGCAGCACCCCTAGGTTTCCGCTTCTATGTACTCGCTCAGCAGTTGCGCGGGTCACCGCGAACGTTGCTTGCTTTTCTTCAGGTGAAACCGAAGGCCAAGTCGAACCTTCGAAACTTCCGCACGAGCCTGAACATCGATGCCCAGGATCATCTCCTCGCCGTCGAGAAGCAGGTGACCTGACGGAGGCAGACCAACACGGTGTTTTTAGGAATCGATCAGTGCCCTGTTACCACGGAAGGCATCCGCGTCAGTTGGACCTGTAGCGATGTTAGAAAGTACCGAGCAGCGATTGGAACGGTTTGTAACGTCAAGTCAAGACAACAAACACCCACGAGAGTATGTTTTGCCTGGGTGCTGTACGGGGAGAAAGGATGTCATTTTGATCGAAATTCAGCTGCATATATGTCGTGATAAATCTGGTCACAAGTGACAGAAAGTCAGCCCTCTTGGTCACTCTACGTCATGTCCGCCTAGGGCGATACATCGGGGGGGGAGGGGTGCACCAACTTTCCGTTGTCCTTGTCACCACTGTTTGTATGGATCGCGGTGTCCCATTTCTACCAGAGGGGGTACGCTGAAAACCAGGTGCGTTATGTGGTTGGGGGCAGCCGACACTTGGAAAGCATCTCCTTCTCACATTACATTAACCTCAACCCTTTCAGCCGAAAAGGGGCTGAAAAAAGAGATATGTTGACAGGCCTGCGCACAAACGCTGGTATTGTCGTCATCGGAACCGGCTCAGACCTTCGTGTCTGATCGGTCATTCGTACTGTGAAAGTGTATACGACTTGACAAGTGGGATAATTCTACGCTTGGTCGTTTGTGGTCCAGGGGAAAGTATATGGGAGGGGGCTTAGTTTGAGGGGTCGATCATGCCAGCTTGAAAGATGCTTACAGGTGTCTGTTGACATTTTCCGGCAGCGGTGAAACTCCGATTGGCTGGGACGCGCATGACACCACCGCCTGATCAAAACTTTGGTCTGAGGCTCGAAGGACCCCAAGCGTTTGTCAGGAGAGGGGGGGAGGGCGCAGCAGCAGTAGTTGTATTTGAAGGGGAGCAATTCGTGTTCGGATCTTCTCACAGCCGTCCTTTCCAAAGCTTAAGCTTTAACGTATTCAGTGAGTCGGTTGCAGCTGGAGAGCAGTTGGTGCCTCTCCTTGTGCTCATGCCTCCAAATACCGAAATCGACCATCAATCCAATCAGTGACCATGCCAACCCTGTGGGAGCAACCTCGACCTCCCCTAGCCACCTGTGTATGCACAGACTAACACCGCGAACTTCTCCTTATCGTCTTACTTCATAGTTTTCGTTGTTGCGTACCCCCCAAGCATGAGCCCGAGTTGTACCTTCCCGCAAGCAAGAACACCACAAATCAAATCACCGATAGCTTCACAGCACTAGCATGGCCGTCTTCTACTATCGAATCGTTCATTTCGGCTCCATGTAACCGGTAGGGCTGGACGGCGGACGAGTACGAGGCTGGGGTGAAGATGACGAGCAAGGACGGCGACGCCAAAAACCAGAGCCAAATCGGCGGCGCTCTCATACGAGCTGAGACCGTAGGCCCGAATGCGGAGGTTGAAGACCTACAGCTCGGCAGATACTAGAACGACTTTCCAGAGGGGATCCGCGACTGACAGCGAATGGGTGGAAGGTAACACTCTCGGCGGAGGGTCACTATCATCCAAACCCATCCTCGGACCCCCCGTCGGTTGGGGCAACAACGAACAGCATTTTAAAGCCGTGCCTCGAAGACGTTGGAAGTGGCTCGGTATGAGTATTCCTGAGAGACTACAATCGTTCTTGCACGCCTTTCTGCGATGGAAAGAGAGACTACTCTTGGTATAGGCTCGATTTTAGGGTCCCCGCAGTCAAGTCGTTGATGAGCGCCACGGCATTTTGTCGTCTCTTCCTTGTGGGTAGCAGGGTTTTGGACACTACCCTAGCCAGGGTAGCCTTCAAGGTGAAAAAAGGTCCGCACGCTTCGGAAGGGGGGTTTAAGCATTCGACACCTCATAGCGGGAGCGTTTCAGTTTTTCCTCAAGCCTCTTCCAAGTAATATAGAAAGACGTGCGTCGCAAAGAGGTGTTTTCTCGTTCAACCGCACACGCGACGATGTGCCACATTCGGGGTGATTGTCGTTACGTAAAACCGTTTCATTTTTGGTTGTACATGTGGTGTGTGGGTTACCCGGTAGGGGAAGGGGGAGGGGGAGGGAGGGCGGCTCGTTTTTTGGTGCGCCGCGAGTCGGTTGCCCTTGGCCTACGCTTCCGTTCAAGAGAGCGGCACCGTTGTGGGCATTACTTGGTGGCGAAGGCGTGATTCTTGGCGCTTTATCCATTGTCATCGCCCAGCCAATTTTGCCTATCGCAGCCAACGTATGCGCCTTACAGGTGGAGAAGTAGCAGCGAAAAGAGCATGGGGGTTGTGGGAGTTCAAATTTATAGCTCGCTGAACCCGTGCAAGAACATGATCAAAATAGGGAGGGGGGTTGGGGGGGGAAGAAGGGTTAGTTGTGGGGCAAGTGGCCGGCGTTTGTGCCGGGCGCGGACGGAGTATGCTACCTTCGCAGCACGGCGTTTCATCATCACAATTATTTCAACAAATGTATTACCAATGTTTGTTAGATTCCGTGTATGTTTGCATATCGTGCTGTACTTTGTGCAAAGGGGGCTGTCGTATTACCGAAATGCTGTAGTGTAGGATATTGTACAATTCTTGCCCAGAGCTGGTTTTCCGTATCATTGGGAGGTTTGTTTGTTGACCTGGTGCTAAATGGATGATGACAGAATCAAGAAATAGTAGCATCCGTCGCGAGGCCGGCAATCTAAGAGAGAGCAGTTTGTTCGAGTATATCCATGCCGGCCTTGGATTTCAGCAGATCCTTCAAAAATTGGGAACTCGTCCTAGGCAGACTACGGAGTTTTTACCCTTTACAAAGGGGATCCACACACTGGCCATCATTGTTCACTCGCAACTCTATGACTGACAACCGCAATTTAGCTCAGGTGGTGAGCATTTCAGCGAGTGTTATTGTGATTGCCGTCTGTCTACAATGTTTCCCCGGCAGTGCGTGGGACTGCCTTTTCACTCCGGGCGGTTGTACAACGTTGGGACGAGCGGCAAGAACTGTCTTCTTTTTCTTCATATGCATTGCCTGGTTCCATTTGCAAAACTTCGAGAAGATCCATGTCTCAACCATCTGCTATAGGTTATGCTGTCGGTGGTGCTGGGGTCCCACAAGCAATAGAGTTGTTGGAGTTGTGTGTCTTGTTTGCCTTCCGGCTAGGGTTCCGGTTTTTTCCGAACGCACCCGCCAAAATTTTGTGTGGGGAAGTAGGAGAGCTACACCCGATCGTGTACAACGGCCATCTTGCAGTCTTTTAGCATCTTGAGCTTAGGAATGATACGATTTTTTGATGTTCCTCGCTGGTAGGGCAGCATAAGCCTCGCAGACGAATCAATGCGCACAACGCGAGACTGGAGGCTAAAGCACATACAGGGATGCGATCGATATGTTTAGTTCGATCGCTCCACACAACCAAGAAGCTTGTTTTGCCGAAAAGGGTGGTCCTGGAAAAAAAAGATGAATCAGAAGAAAGCCTTTGTTGCACGCGTGGTCGGGTTTCGACAGCATCCTCTGTTAGCCTCTTGGTTGTGGAGCAATCGATCTCTAGCGTGGGAAATGCTACCATAGCTATTTTGGCTGCTCTTGAAAAAGGTAATTTGGCTGCTCTTGAAAAGGCTATACACCTACAGTAGTAGGCTAGCGCGTTTTAAGTTCTAGGGGGCGCCGGTGATTCCCAGAAAGGGGGTTGGCCATCAGCTGGCTAGCTAAAAAAAAAGGCGCCTTCTGCCTGAATCACCTCGAATTCGTGCTCTGAGAGGCAACCTCAAAAGCGTATGATGGGTGACCAGATTATTAGCAGGGAAGGCACAGGTCGTTCATTAGACCCTCGCACACAAATGGTGGTGCGCAGGAGTGTGGTGGTGTACCGTCATCTTGTCTACGAGCTGGTGACAAGCTGAAATGTTCGGCCGAACAACAGCCCAGACACCAACCCAACACGCACAACAACCAACACGGCAGATGCAAACAGACGTCCACAACAGCTGTGCTTGTCAACTCGCTCTGTCATCTATCTCCTGTTTGTCAGCTGCTCGATCGGGTGTAAGCACGTCCATCTCTCTGTGTTGCCCGGCGCTGTGCTCATCGCCGCTCGCTGATGATGAAGATGTGTGTATATCACATTAGTATGTATCTCTCGAGCGATCGTGAAACAAACAACCAACCAAGCGTTTCTCTCCTCCTCTCGCTCCCACCGATAGCCCAGAGCAGCAGCAGTATATGGCATAGGCCACACACCCCTGTCTCTTTCCTCCCTGGCGAGTGTCTCCCTCCACCCTCGTCCCATGTCCCTCTCTTGCTATCCTTACCAGCAGCGGCAGGGAGAACCTGATTCCAAACAAATGACGCCTCCTCCGCGGTCTCGGGGACGCGTGAATCCGACATGTATGTTCGGCACACACGCGTTCGCGACTTGATGCATTGAGCACGGATTGAGCGGGAAGCAGTTGCGACAGCTCGGGCGAAATGTTACTTGTTGTGCACAAGTCTAACTTTGCAAATTTTGTGTCTAGATGGTGCAATGGGCTATAATAGTGTCTGCTTGGTTTTTATACTACTGTACCGTAGAAATCTTTCTTAACCAAGGGTCTTTACTTCACCGTGCTCCCTCCGCACACGAACAAGCCCAGTCGGTCAATTCTGGGCTAAAGTGCATCACGTCGCCCATCTTTACAGCGTCGTTACACAACATGATGGTTTACGTCTTCATTTTGAGCGCCGCATCGTGGGACCCATTCTGCGATGACATCTTCGACAGCAAGGCACGCCCTCTGAAGAAGGGCGACTCGGCAACTCATTCTTGGGCATATCCTGGCAACCACGTGTCGGTTTGGGCCGAACGGCGGCTTGTGCTACAGCTGGGGGGCAGGCGCGCAGGTGGTCTCGTGCCTATTGAGGTGTTTTTCAAAAAATTTCAAGCGGTGTCGTCGATACTCCCTGTCTACAATGACATCGCCGAAGTGGTTCTGCAGCCACGTTTACGGACGTATCTCGGGAACCATATTTATTTCGGTTTGGGCCGAACAACGGCTTGTGTCACAGCTGGGAGCCGTGGGAACACGTGCAGTTGGTACGCAGTTCCCCTTGGGGGTGTTTTAAGACAGTTTCTAGGGGTGTCATCGGTGAGCCCTACACCGCCGAGATGGTGCTGTGACATCGTTTCGAGACACATCTCGGCAACCACCGGTCATTTGGGGCCGAAAGAGGGCTTGCGCAACACCTGCGACGATAAGGAACACACAGGTTACGTGATTTCGCGCGCGGTGTCGTACAAAACAATTACGACACGGCGAACAAATACGCAAGTATGAAGTTCTATCTTGAGTGTAGCCTCGGTCTCCTATGATGGCTTCGGGGTGTGGAGAGTCGGAAGGCTACTTGCGTATCCTCTTTGGTTTTGCCTGTCATGTGTTGGGCTGACTGAATGGTGGCTCATGGCGACGGTGTCGCCTTCAGTAGACGTCAGCAGACACCGACCCATCGTGCAATAGTACCCACGGGATTGATAGCTTCTGCTACTACAGCATCACACAGTCAGCCGCCGTGGCCCATTGCGAATGTGGGACATAAAAGATGGAATCACCACATACAGCCTCCCGCGAGCACGGGTAAAACCGGGGGTGCACTGAGATGCAGTACCGTATATGACACAAGATAACACACCCCCTTGGCCGATTTTCAAAGCTCGATTTCTCAACAGCAGGAAGAGTCACAGCGCCGAAAACGGCGGCGTTGGAACCGTCTCGTCGAGAGCTGTTCGAAAACGTATTGTTTCATTTATGCATTCTCTTCGTCGTGGAGTAATCGAGCTTTGAAAATCGGTCCAGGGGGTGTGTTATCTTGTGTCATATACGGTATGTGTGGGTGGTGCATCAGTTATCGACACATCGAAAAATTGTTCGGGACACAGCTACTGCTGTTATGTATGGTAAGCTCCATCTACTATCCGAACATCTATGCATATCTGCCCTTCTCCCACGTACAGAAGCCGTGCTGGAAAGGTTGGCACTTTGTTTGGGACTTGGGGACACAAGCACTGCTGTAAAATGGTTTATGTACTGCTGTAGGGTGAGGTCGGTCTACGGCAAGGATATAATTAACACATGAAAACAAATCCAAACCTGTCCTTCGCACGTACATCGTACAAGGCCGTGCTGGAGGCTGAATTCGGGATGACCGAGAGCCGAACACCTACCGTCGAGGGTGCTACCCCCTGTGTTTGGTGGGCAGTTTAATACCATGCCGCAGTGCAGCAGTAGATCATGATCGCGTCCGACGGCGGCTGGTGATGGACAGCGGGGCAACTTCAGCATCCGAACGGGGTGTCGTAGAATGCGCCCCCCTCTCTTTTGGAGGGAAGCGATTTTTCCCCTGTGCACCACGCGCGCTCTATTTCTCTCTCCTGCTTCTCTTCCCTTCAACGCAAACCTGTTTCCGATACCCTGTGAGGGAGGTGTTTACAGCGACCACAAGCTGCCTTGACGATAACGTTGGCTAGGAAAGGTCGATACACCAGCCATGATTAGCGTCGCGAGAGTGTCGGCGGGACGGACTGCTTCACGCCTGGCGAGACAGCAGCGGCATGTTGTGCCCTCGGCAAGGATCGCTCTAGTCAGGGCCGAGGCATTAGGGCTAGAGGGCAGCAGCATCAGATTGAACTCTCCAGCCTCGCGCGCTCTCGTGTCCGTGGCCAAGCCTCCCAAGCAGCTTGCGGAAGGGAGGACGTTCAGCGCGGTGGCGCCCAAGCCCATGGTGACGATGATCCCGTGGGTGCCTCCTCCGTTCCAGCCGCTGATGAACAGGCTTCACCCCATCATGATCAGGGAGCGGCGTCCGATGGCGTGGTGTGGCATCGAGGCGCTCAACACCGTGACCAACGCCGGGGCGCTGTGCGGCCACTTCAGTTTTGCGCTTCTCACCCTCGCCTACCTCGAGACGGACGTTTTGAAGCTACGGTGAGAGGTGGTAGTGCCTACATCTCCGTCATGCGGAGTATTGCTGGGGGTGTTATCATGCGTGTGTTTCGTACTTTTCGATGTCGTCATCTCGTGATTTCCAGATCTCTTCAAAAATCTGTCCCCGCCCTTGCTTCTCCCCAAGCGGGAGTGGGGCGTGTGTGTGCCAGATGGTGCGCACAGCACCCATCCCTGACCCTCATCACTGTTTGGTGCTCGTGTGTCAACCGCCAGAGCCTGTGTCGTACATTATCTAAGAGTTTCCTGGTTGGTAACACGTGGGTCTGCCTTGGATGATGTGCGCATACGTATGTTGGCAGCGTACGTGTACTGTAGATCGCATGTGCCTTTACTCTCTCTAGCGTTTATACGCCGAGCATGTACAAACCACAGCCCGCAGTGTGTGCGTGCGCAGTCGAGGATAGACATGCTCAGCACTCGCAGGCAAATGGCGGCCATGAGCGTACGCTCGTGCGACTGCTGTGTTGGTCAGAAAGTGTTTGAGTACCCCGAGTGTGCCACAAAGGGTGTACGTGTCGTGGTATTTGTCATCGTGAGAGGACGCGTGTTACAGCAACAGACGCGGGAGGCCCCCTCGCAGAAGTACCACGGTACCAAGGGAACAGACACGTGTTGTTCATCTCTTCGCCAGTACAATCAAGCTGTTAGCTGAAATCATCCACTAACTATTCCAAGCGTGTGTAGGCCAGACGGCATAAAAAGGTTGGGTAGGAAGCAGCTGTGCTTCCAGCTTTGAAGTTTTCAGAAAACACCCCGCCAATATATTGAAATCACTGTGCATGTAGGTACGCTGCTGCAGGTCTGACTTTCCAGTGCTGCTGTGCATCATGACTCGAGATGTCACCTGCATTCTTTGCCTGCAAGACGTTTCTTTCTTCCCCTGTAGTGTACCACTATCACTGCTGTGTTGGCGTACAGATTCTAATAGGGCACACATGCTCACACAACAATTGACGCCCGCATGTATCCAGCAGTAGCAGTATGCATACATGCTAAGAGTAACGGGGAAGTGCGGTGGAGAAAATAATGTGATGATGAGAGTGCGAGGAGTAGGAGGAGGCTTCGGGTAAAAACAATTTTCTACGGCAGTAGTATACCACTGGATGGTTTACCCCCCCACCGTTCTTGAGTGAGAAAACAAGCACTCGATTATGTACCTTTTGCTGCAATGTAACTCGTGAGTTTAAACTCGAAAACAGTGCAACCCACTCCTATTCGTACTATTCCCAACTCCCGGCCCCCCACGTGGTCGGGAAGGGCGGAGTTTTGTGTTCAGCGGATGGTTGGAAGCTCATCGTGTATGTACATGTCTACCGTGTGATGGGAAGTGAATTGCATGTGGACAAAATTATACTCAATTAGTTTGGTTTGTTTTGGTTTGACGCGATCCTTGTGTAGCCGAGCTCTTTCGTGTATGCGCTGCTGTTGCGAAAGCTGTGGGGGGAAGTTCGATACAGGCACTGCTCTAACCCGGTAATGTACAAGTAAAGTGCATTAGGTAGAATAAAGGAGAGCGAGGCTGAGGTTTCCGAATAGAATAGCCGAGCGTCAGCGCAGAATTCCATTGTTAATCGTGTGTGACAGACGAAAGTCAGTGCCTATTTTAATAGCCTTGTTTGTGGTTCCATAAACGTACGATCGGGCCGGTACTATAATACTGCCGCATCGAACTCGAAGATGTTCACCACGAGACCTCCCTTAATTCCAGGGCCGGATGATTGCCTTAGCACAATGTAAAGAAGCCCTGGGTCCCAACGACTGTAATACAAAACAAATCAGCTGGGCCGTGGGTCACTGCTTTTCGTAGATATGGGGACGTCGAAAACAATGGTTGAGGAAGCTTTTGTCGGATTTCTACTCTAGCCCGGCGTTCCCCTACTGAGGCGTGTGCTTATATTATAGTCCACCTACATTCGTGTGCGAGATGGTAGATAACCTTCTGGACCACCTCACGAAAGGAACACACCGCGGGACACAACAATCCTGCCAACCACCTGTAGAACAGATATGTAGCGGCGCAAAGAAGTCTGGCATCTATGGTGTGTACTCTCTGCTAACCACGCTTGCCCTCAGAGAGTGGTTGTCGTTTTTTTCCGAGAGAAGCTGTAGAGTCAAATCCTAAACCTCCGCTGTGCCCCGCCTCCGCCGATGACCATGTTTTCAACACCGCAGATACCTGGTGGCCTGTGGATCCACCCTGAACGTCATGTTCAACCTGTTCCGCGTTGTGGGCCCCCCCGTATGGATTCCCATCAAGTGGAACGCCGGGTTCCTTTTGCTCAACACAATTATGGTGATTCTGCTCATGAACGAGCGGCAAGAAGCTGACCGTCTGAAGGAGGACCCTGAACAGGCGAGTTTGTTTTTTTGTGTTTGTTTTTTGCCTTTAGCCTCCGGTTGGAGTTCTTTTTTCTCTTACAAACAACGGAAACAAAGCCATTCTCTACCCTTATGATGTTTTACTATGTATTGCCTGCTCGTGCTCAGTCGTACCACCCATCCCCCTGCGTACTTGCATTCATGGCGATAATTTGTCTTGCTGGACTCGGGTGGGGCTACTATAATTGCGTCGTGAGTACTAATATGTCATACGGAGCATACAAACTATTATGTTGCGGAGTATACAGCAGTAAACCCTTCGAGGCTTCCTCCTTAGTCCATCCTTAAAAATATTCGCCTCCGTGCCGCTTACCGCATCAAAACGTACTGCATGATGTTGCACCGGGCGCTCCGCGTGCGGCTAGCCCCTTAACTCCCATGTGAACCTGACGCTTGGGAGCAGGCGAGGATTTACCACGACATCTTCGAGAGCGTGAATCTGAGCCCCGTTCAATTCCTGCGGCTCATGGACGTCGCGGAGCGCCGCGTGGTGCCCAAGGGAGCTAACCTCAAGGACGGTGGGGCCCCGCACAAGGAAGTTATCCTCATCATCGAGGGTACAGCAGAGGTGAGTTGGACTGACTGAGCTGCTACACTGCTGGTGGTGCATGTGCGTGAAGCTGAGCAAAGGAAGCTCCTGCGGTTGACACCTTGGCGGGTAAGGAACTTGATGATCATGCTCAAGGGTATATATAAGTTGGCCACCATTTTAAGTTTGTGAGCCCGGCTAAGAACCCATATATACAGCGACCGTTTTTAGGTCACAGGAGGAACTAAGAACATCAGCCTGGGCCGAAGCCAATAGATAGAGGTGTGTTTTTGAGTGTGGGGGGTAACTGAAGTGCTGGCTCTCGCCTTGTTTGGCTTCGAGAAAGGGGTCTTGAGACAGGTGGAAAAGGGCCACCACCACCATGGGTCGTGAGCGGAGAGATCGGGGAGTGTTTTTTCGTTGTGCTTCACTTGCCCGACAGGCCTGAGCGGGCATCCCGCATGCAGAATTTTTCGTGCCTGACGTGTCATGATGAGTCAGTCACGTCGCTGACCCTTGTTGCTGGAATTTACGTTGTGAACGTGACAGGTCAAGTCCGAGGGAGTGGCTGTGTCCCACATGGAGAAGGGTGGATTCATTGGGTCCATGGCCTTCATGCGCCTCAGCAAGAAGCTTTCCGTCGCCAAGCTCGCCTCCGACGACGGGCACTACGTCTACAAGGACGGAGGCATGTTCCGGAAGGCTTGGGAAGCGGTCCTCGGACAGCTGCGGAGGGACGGATCCGTGGTGGGAGAGGTGGCCCAGGCTGTCGTGGGGGACAAGACGCTCAAGAGGCAGGACACGATGGGCTTGGAGCGCTCCATGTCCACCGTGACCGCCACCTCCGACGTGAGTTACTGTAGACATGCAAACCCCACTTGCTGCGATTTGGATAGTCTTCGCGAGAAATTAAGTTTACGAGGAAATAGAACAGGAGGGGGTACGCAGACTCTATTCCCTAACCTTTACCCTACTTCCCCGATTTCGTGATTTTTTCCAACATGTTTACTTCAACTAAGAACCCTAGGAAGGCTGCTGTGCGATTTTGGTTGGTGTTGCTGCGAAGAAACCAACGCACAAGACAGAAAATGCTGCTGCAAATGTGGACAGACACGTGCAAGGAAAGGCGACTATTGCGGCTAGCTCTCGATGGGATATTTCCGAAACCGCCTACCCGTTTCGCCATTGGCGACAGCCTCTTGGTCGTAGAGAAATTGAGAATCGGTACAAGAGCACTTCTGTCTGTGCTTTCGCCCGCACTGCTCTCACAGTATACTACGTGTGCAGCGAGCGGGTCACCCTCGTGGGCAAGTTCATAGGGCACATGTACCCAGCTCACTGTGCGCCGTGCGACGTCCACTTGTTTGAGTGCTTGTCTCCGCATGCTGCCCGCACGCATGGAACGCTTTTTTTATTACATTTCCCGCCGCTGCTCGCCAACGTTCCGCCTCTCCACCAACTCCATCTGATGGCCCGCTTCCGTGACGATGATGATGATGCATCATCAGGTGGTGGTGTACGTTTGGGACCAGCACGCGCTTCGCGAGTTCATCAAGCGCCGGCCCATGATCGGCGCTTTCCTCCAGAAGGCGATCACGGTTGACCTGGTGAACAAGGTCGACCAGTCGCGCGACCACCACGAGCACTACCGGCAGCTGCTCGCTGAGACGTTGGACGGGGGACGGGTCACCTCCACGGAGAGGAAGAACTTGCAGAGGTGAGTGAAGGGATTAGAGGATGGCGGAGCAGTTCTGTTAGGCTTGTCGGTGCTTACAGGTGCGACAGGCGGTAGTGAAGTGAAGCAACAAGGAAGCTAGTATGATACTACAAAACTGCTGTCAGGAGACGAAAAGTGCAGCGCACGGCTTTGGCACCGCGACTCGGGAGTTCTCGGGCATCATTGTGTATACGGGGAGTACCAATTGGTAGCAGTTCTTTCGGAAGCGACAGGGACATGTACTCTACTCATCCAACATGTCTACTGACTGCTGACCCGTCACAGCAGCAGTGGCACCGAGACCCCGGAGCTCTCGGATGATATGAATCAGGGGAGTTCCATTCCAATCAGTAGCAGTTGTCTGGTAAACAAGCATCGGGTATCCCATCCGGCATTGCTCCGTCTCGATGTCCGCGCCCCATCTCTTGATGCCCCCCCCCCCCCCCCCCCAAGTGGAGGGAGTCGAAGGGGTTGAGATAGAG